ATTTCCCTTCTGCAACTTGTGCCATTACTTTTTGTCCTGTAAACATGCATCCTAGCGAAAAGAGCGTGCCTTAGTCTTCTTTATAACCTTCTTGTTAGGTATTGGAAGATTGGTTAGATTCTGTTCAGTCTTCCCTTCTATGGGTAACACAGCTCTACATCCTTCAGCCTTTCTTTCTTTTCTAAGTCATGTTCTCCAACATTCAGATCACCATGGTTACCCTCTACTGGACCCTCTCCATTTTTTTCAGTGTCTTTCTTGAACTGGACACTGTATTTCTAGTGTAGTCTAGCACATGTTAAAGAGAGTAGAATCGTCACATACGTTGTTTTGATAGCTGTGGTCTTGCTGATGGAGTCCAGAATAACATTCACTTTCATTGCTATGAAGACACACTCCTGACATAAGCTAAGCTTGCTATCCAGTTGCATCCTTAGGTCATTTTATGCCAAGGTACACTCTTTGCAGTAAGTTCCCAGCCTGATACTATTTCCCAGTACTGATGCTTGGGATTATTCTGTGCAAGGTGCAAGAGTTTACATTTATCTTTGTTAAACCTAATGGAATTGTTGCTAGCATTCTGACCAGTGGAAGTCTATGATGGTAGCTCTTTCTTCTACCCTAACTACCTCTCCTCTTATTTGGAGCTATTTGTGGATAATTTGGTAAGAACACATACCATCCCATTATCTTATTAAGTTGTTTATAAAGATATTGGATAGTATTGGAGTCAGTATTGACCCCAGGAACTTGACTCATGATCAGCTGACAATTTAACTTTCAGCTGTTTACCACTATCCTTCCTGCTTATCCCCATAGACTGTTCTTTAACTGTAGGTGACCTATGCTTCCAGTCCATATCTTACCAGTTTGTCACTGATTGTGGAAGTGACAACTGGACCCTTGATTGTGGGAGACTATGTTAAGGGAGACTGTCATTCTTTCAAGATGTCAAACACTTTGCTAAAAGGCCAAGATAGATGAATCTCTATGAATGTATTATTCATATGTCATTCTTCTTGCCAGTGCAAATACATGGTCATGGGTTGGTGAAGGAATATATAATTGAGATTTGATACTCTGTGTTTTATAGAAGGTCAGAATAAATGGGAAAAAAAAATGTTCCTTTAGCCTTAAAAAGAAATTATATTTATATATGAATCAAACCCCTTTGTGAAAAGAGGCTCATGTCTGCTTCTAATATAGTGCCAATAAACTAAAAGTTAAATTATTGCTGTATACACTAGGTTTGAGAGTCTGTGTTTGTTTGTTTATTTGTTTGTTTAAATAAGGATTACTGAGATTTGATTCCTGTGTGGCTTAGTCACTTTTAATGAATATACATAAGAATTAGGCCTCATTTTTTTTTTTTAATGTTTTTCCTCAGAAATTCAGATTGTAACCTTAACTACCTTCAGTCTTTCTTTTGTTACAGCAGATCATTTTGAATTAAGATATTGCATGTGTGCAGTCTTATCCAAGTCAATGCCTGTGACACCCAAGGGCCTTTAGCAGACAAAAAAAAAAAAAAAAAAAAAAAAATCAGAATTGGCTTGACACATATTTTGTTGAGCATTTATCCCATCCTATCTTGTATCACGAGACTTGCTTCCCTGTCCTTTGATCTTTGTTTATTTTGGTGTTTATCCAACATCCTGATATTTTTCTAACTTTGTGTTCTAAAGTCTCACTGCTCAGATATTTGTCTTTCCTATGTACATAGGAAAGTACTGCTGTACTTTCAGTATGCATATTAGTTAGCTAAATATTACTAACACCGATTCCTTCTGTTTCCAGCCTCAAAAATATACACCACTCTGGACTAACCAGAGTCTTTACAATGACTTCTTTCATAATCTCTAACATGCAGAGTTACCTCCTAGTAAACTTTGATTTGTGAATGCTGAGTATGGCACTGATGACATCCTCTGAATGTCACTGTTGGAGATGCCATTGTATGCACCTTCTAGATGAGCTTCTTGATTTGCTTAACCTCTTCAATCCAGACATGTTAGTTGCTTCTCTTGTGCTGTAGTGAAATTCAAATGTTACAAAGCATAGGCAGCTTCCTTATCTTCAACATTACAGAGGGAACAGAAGCATAATAAATCATGTCATCACAAGTTATCTTATACAGACATCATTTCCAGTTGATTTCAAGTTAGTTTGGCTTTCCAGACAGTGATTTCCAGTTAGATCAGACAATATGGTGAACTAACCCAGATAAAACAATACACTTCATTGATGGAGTATATAAGTTGATTAACTAGATTGATTTGCACACAAAGAAGATGGAAACATGATGTAATTGTAGCATCTGCTTCTATCAGTATGAATGATGTTTCATAGTATGAACAGTCAGAACTACCAGAAGCAATATAGCAATATGTACAGAGTGCCATTCCCTTCAGTTCAAAGTCAGACGGGCTCCTGATGATTTTGACTGGTCTGGCCTCTTGATTTTAGTCTTTTGAGTCTGTTCAGTATCTTGCCAGCCAGACAAAAAAAAAAAAAAAAAAAAAAAAAAAAAAGGCCATATCCTTACCTTAGATGGAGCCTGGAATGAGCCCTGCAGAAATGACAAGGTAAATCTTACCCATCAAAAAAAAAAAAAAAAAAAAAAGTGGCTGTATTTCACTGAATAAAAGGTTTTAAAGGTTTTAAAGTTTTTTTTTTTTTCAGACAAAACACTCTGTTCTGCATAAAACAAATACACATTATGTTTTTGCAAGAATTACTAAACTAAATTGCTATATCTTAGAATTTAGAGATTTAGTAGTGACAGATATATGGTCTGTTTTCCTTGGCATAGTTTCAGTTCTGATCTTTATATTTTAGGGATGGAAGAAAACAGTGAAAGAGCATTGTAATATTTGGCCTATATGTGAAAATTTTGCAGGGTCACTGGATACTTCCTGTATTTCATAGTACAACAATAGAGGGCCCTATGCACTATTTTTCTAAGCTTTATTTTCTACAGTGTAGCAAATCACATATAAATTTATTATTGGTTTTGGTTTAATTATTTGAACAAGCATGCTATTCTAGGGAGACATTTTCCTTTTTTTTTTGTTTTATTTTGTTTGTGACCTTTATCCTCACAAGTGTTGATCCTTTCCAGTAGTAGTTGTTACTCCAACCTAGCCGATTAAATCAATCATCACAGTATGAATACTCTCTATCCTTCACAGATTATTGTATTTTTCACATACAGTAATGCTATGAAAGAGAACAAACTTTCCCATTTCTAATTTATTTCCTTCAATGTGATGATCTTTACAACCTACATGTACAAATACTTCATTCCTTTTTGTAGTTCATTCTTGCTTTATTTGGTATTGCAACTGAATTAGCTTTTCTTTTTTTTTCTTAGTATGCATTAGCAATGCATCTAACAGTTTACCAAAATCATTTTCTCTGTCAGTTTTTGATACTTTTCAAATTATTTCACACCCACTAAAATTACAATTTTGTTTGTTGAAGTAGAGACTGTATGGTAAAAAAAAAAAATAAATGATGATACAGATGCTTTTCACGTATTGCAAAAATCAGTTTTTCATCTTTTCAGTATGACGTAATCATTTGAATTCTTATGCAATCAATGTATAAGGCTTAAAGAATGTTTTTCTGTGATGCAATATGAAGTGCTTGGCAGAATTATTTAATTTTCAAGCCCAAACCTGTGAGCAGAGATTTTTTTTTTTCTGACAGGGCAGGGAGGGGAGAGGTGTACATTTATTTGGTCTTCTCCGTTTGCATTCTTATATGTATTTCATCATTTCATCATATTCAACATATTCTGAAGAAAAATATTTTTCTTCCTTAATATTATTAAAATCCTTTCCAATTAGTAATATATCGTGTTCAAAACAGTAACAACATGTTCATGAAAGGTCCTGAAAATCTTCTGTTTTGTTAAATACAGTTAGTTCAGTTAAATACAGTTAGTACAGTTGTTAAATACAGTTACTTGATTTGCTAGGTCCCCAGACAGAGGGAAATAATTCTTGGATTGTATCACAGCAGAGGGACAAAGTAATCTTTTTTTTTTTTTTTTTTTCCCCCCCAAATAGATGTTCCCCCTTTTTATTCCACCTATGCTACTAATTCTCTCCTGGGGCAGAATTTAGGGCTTCCAATCAGCTGAGTTTCAGAACAGTTTGTAGCATCAATCTTTGTTTAGTATCTCCCCCACAGCTAAAAGCAAAGTTATGTTTAAGCTTAACATTAATAGATGAAAGACTCCTTAAGGAGTCTGATTATACTAGTCTTCCATACTCTATGCCTACACTTTATTGACTAGGCAAGATTAACATGACTGCTCATTTTCTGACTCATCTGAATTGGAAACATTATTGAATGGATGGGGGTAAACACGATATTCCATTTCATTTATATAGACTTTTATGTCAGCTTTTGACATGAAAACCAGTATGTTTGAGATGAAACCCTGTATGATCAGGCTATGTTGCTTTTAGATAAAATCCTTCACCAAGTATCATTGCATTGTACCATGGATAAAATGGTTGTTGTCCTCTCCTTCACAACTGTTTCCTCCGTATTCTGTCGTCTGTTAATAACTTCAAGTCACTATAATGTGGATTAAGTTTTCAGAATTGCTCAGGAGTAGCTGAATGATTTGAAATCATTTGAAATGAGAGTTTGAAATATACTAGAATCCAGAAGATTCTCCACACTCACAAACATTGATGATGAACTTGGCAACAGTGAATCCTGCTAACTTCCATTGACTTCAAATAATTCTAGGCCTTCATCACGGAATTTCATAACCAACAAAATATGATGCAAATTCTAAAGAATCTCTCTAGACATTTTGTTTTCTACAGAAAAGATGAAAGCTGCAGAGACCCTTATAGAATTCCCGTGGTAAAACCTGTGACATGTAGTAAAATATTAAAGTAGTGTGCAACTGAGAATTTGATTTATTTCCTGGAAGCATATTGCTTTTATTAATATTGCCTCTAAAATTTATCTTTCAGAAATCAAAAATCTCCACTTACGACAAGATGTGGGCCTTCATGAGCAGCAGGAGGCAGTCAGTACTTGTCAAAAGTAATGAAGAAGGCATCCAGCGTGTACTTACCTCTGATTATGCATTTTTAATGGAGTCGACAACCATTGAGTTTGTCACACAGCGGAACTGCAACCTAACACAGATTGGAGGCCTCATAGACTCAAAAGGTTACGGTGTTGGAACTCCCATGGGTAGGTCATGTGTCAAGCATTTGTTCAGTGTTCATTAATCTTAGTACCCACAAGAAAGCTCTAATGTACTGCAGCTTTCTTTACACTACTAGCATTTCTCTGATTCTCTGGTTCTCTCTTTCCTCATCTAGGCAAAAATATTCCATATATTATCAACTTTTACAGATCAAATTCATTTTTATAAACAGAAAAAAATCGTATAAAATATTGAATATTTTCGTATGATATGTTTCTATTACTGATGATTTCCATATATTCAACTAAAATAAGCAATTATCAATAATTAAATATTGAGCACTTTATTTTCTAAAAAATAGTAAAAGATATGTTTTATATATCCATCGGTCTCTTCAGAGAATGAGATGCTGGTAGTACAAAGATTGCACTGGCAAAAATGAACATTTGTGAAATACTAAGAATTTTAAAATAACCTGTCACGTATAATACACAGATAAAATATTAACTGAATTAAAACTTCGTGGTTTTTCAGAAGAGGTCCAATCCTGTAAATATGTTTCAGGTCAAGTGTTATTGCCTGGGTACAAAAACTTGCTTGCAAGATTAGAAGCCAACTACTAATACTTATTTATCCCCAGGATATGATTCACTCTCTTGATGGCTTCCCATTGACTGGAGTGATTTTGAAGTACGTGAACAGAGATTCTGGCTTTATATTTCAGAGTAGATGTAAACAGAAAATGGTGTGACACAAACGGTCTCAGCACTGCAAAATGATTCTGTTTAATCTTGTAATATCTTCCTGCAAGATTGATATTTATCTTATTTTAATTTTATATTTTAGGAAGAACTTATACCATCTTGACGCTGATGTGAATAGGTTTAATGTTTTTCTTGTAAAGGTCTTATATTTGTTACTGATTGTATCTGTGTTAGAAGTCTATAGTAAATCATTCTGTGGAGAAAGCTGTGTACTTCAAGACCATGAAAAGGAAGGTTAAGAAAATAACTTCACTGTAAGATCTTGTGTAAAGAGGTATCTGGAAATACTAAACACATTGCCCAGTATTGTGCAGATACTTCCTGTAATTTTAATAACAGCTTTAAGATTGTATTATTATCAGTAATTGGCTAAGAAATAGACATCTGCAAAAATTATGATTCTGTTCATCTGTGAACAATTAGTTTTTTAGAATATAGTTTTAACCTATATGTCATTTTTTTTCCCATCCTATTCTATTCCCAGTACAGCTTCTTATATTTGATTTCTACAATATATTAAGTCATATATCATGAGAGTGATATGAAGTCCTTGACTCCAAGAAAGTCAAGAAGCACAAAAGCTTCTGTGATACTGCTTTGGTAATTAAAGGCTAATGCAATTAGAGAACTGGGGCATTATAGCCAAGAGTTATTTGAAATCGCTTGAATATTAAGGAGACTTGAGTGTATGTACAGCAGTCTCGATCTGAAGTCATTGTACAGTTTCACATTGTGAGTTGCACTTTACTGAGTGACAAGGAGGCAATAATTGATAGTTTCCTTTTGTCATCTTTGATATAAATTTCAGGACTTGTCCCAATTATGAGATACTTTGGTTCCTTTTCATGGCACTATATAGAGTGTTGGGGCTTTGCCCTTAGAGTAAAATATTAGGAGAGTTTTCACTCACATAGGAGTATAAGAGAGTCAATTACTCAACTGGCATTCATCACACATATCTGTAACTGGTTATAAGCTACTTATCACTGCAGGCTACTCTTGATTTTAAGCACCTAGAGAGCTTCCATTCAGAAATTAGCTTGCGATTGAATCACACTAGAACTCTAGTTTCTGTAACAAAACTATTTTAAAATCAGGAAGTTTTTGTCCTGACTGTACTGCACAGAGCAGATCTCAAGTCAGATGACAGCTTACTTACATTTCATAAACTAACATGTGGTGGAGTTAAGAATTTGAGTCTCATTTTAAATCTCAACCTTTTATTTGAAGTAGTGACTAAACCCAAGATGTAAATCCCAGAAAGACAAAGTTTCTGGTCCAATTCTGGTAAATTTCAGTTATTTACTGGTTGTTCATATTCCATCTTCTATTGTACTATGCATTGAGGCCTCTCACCTCTCTATGTTTTTATTCAAGATGCAGCCTTGAGCTGAAATAGTGAGTTGTCATGAAAACTGAAATTTATTTGAGAGAAATTTCTGTTAGAGTGTAAGTGCCAGAATGGATCAAACTTTAATCCCATGTCTTCTGTGGTATTTCATATTTTCTGATATGGAAAAAAAAAAAAAAAAAGATAGAAAACACCTTCTATTCAGGCCTATAAGGGTGAAAATTAAATTTTAATGGTAGTTAAAATCCTTGGAGAGGCTGCATGCTTATTTATGAAACATCGATGGATGTGGTCCAATGACTAAGGAACACAAAAAACAGGGTCACCTATTTTACAATATTTTTACATAGATAAGCAGAGGACCAGAATAAATGTCAGAGAAAATAGATGAAAAGCAAAGATAAAACAAAAACCAAACTAGAGTGCTTATTTTTTGCTCTTTGATTCCTGATGTGTTTATGGACAGTGGGCACTATGCATACACTATTTCTTCAGAAACAGAATCCTTTCTGTTCGGCTCTCAGCCATTTGAAAAATTCCAAGTAATAACAAATGATCTGAATCTAGGGAAATAGTATCATTTTACAAGAGTTTCTGTAAGCTGACAATCATACAAAATCAAGATGCAACTAAATAGAGGATACACTTACAGGAATAAGACCTCCAAAAAAAAAAAAAAAACCAAACCAAGAAACCCAAACTTGAATATGTCACATTTAATATGCCCTCTTCAAGACCAAAATACAAACTAGAGATTACTAGAGATGGTAATTTGATAAAATATGCATACTATAAATGAATCTCATGTTTATAAGTTAAAGCAACAATCGTGCATATGCCTGAATACATTTTTAGTCTGCCTCTTCTAGTGCTAGACTATGAAAGTTTCATTTTCACTGAAAAGGAGAAAACAGATTTGTGACATTGTTTTTTTTATGACAACAACTAATAGTTGAGTAGATAAAGAAAAAACTGTCTTTAAGATAGTTGCATGTTTTCCTTTTTCAAAATTTATTTTAAAAGCAAAAAAAATATTTTTACATTTGATTTATTTTCCATGTTTGTAACTTTGTTTATAGCTTCATAACTGAGATGATAACACTGTTTTGCTGGGATAAAAACACCTGTTTTCTTCTTCAAGTTTTACTAATATAAAGAAAGACTGTAGAAAATATTAATAAACAGCAGGTTCACCATCTATCCAGAAGCAGCAAACCCAAATAAAGCATCATACAGACAAATTCTTTTTATTATCTAATAGAAGAGACATAGAGATAAATCAGTGTGTGTTTTCTCTCAAGGTGAAAAACATTATTTTGGGCAGCTGCTGATGTTAAGTGGAACTGTCCCCAGGCAGGTGTTAAATAGTGCCTTCTGACAAAGAGACAGTCAGGGAAGAACAATGTTAGACAATATTGCCACAATAAATCCCCTAAAACAAGTGAAACCTCTGTTCTTCAGTGTCTCTTGTGGACGTCAAGGTACCACATTTCTACTGATGGAGGGGAGTATCCAATTCTGAGCTGATGAAATGGGACAAGCAATAGTTTCAGATTGCCAGGGAAAATTGCATGAAAATGCCCACAAGAAAACAGCATTTTAGTTACTCACTTCAGCAGGGATTTTTTAATGTTCTTTTCAATAAAGTAAGGCTTCATCAACTAAATATAGACATAAATGTAGACTTAACAGAAACATTCTGCTAGGATGTAAACTAAAGGCTAGGATCACATTGATTAAATCCTTCCAAATATTTAATTGTTTCAAAGGTTAATCAACCATACAGAGATATATAATTTTATTGTTTATAATAATCAATAGCAAGTATTCAATATGTTACAAAAATCAAAAGATTCACAATGTCACAAAGGGAAATAAAATGCTTGCAGCTTCAACCATGAGAACTATGTGTGAGTTTTCCAAGAAACCTGTCCTCAAGCAGATGATTCTGAAACAGTGTTCTGTAGTGAACAAACAGCTCTAATTCAGACATATAGCTACCTCTCTGCAGTCATTCCTAAGGTTTTCCTTTCACTATACTGACTCGATCAATACATTCCTTTCACTATACTGACTTGATCTCCCTTAGTTATACTACTCAGCTCCTACTCCCAGTTTGCATATGGATACATACCATGTAGATAGCTAAGTGTCTGAATATAGTGACAAATTGCACTTGAAATGTCTGATCTGGGGATCCTTGGCATGTGTGTGTTCCATAAATTGAATAATAATGCTTCTGTAGGGGAAAATATATATCATTGTAATCTTTTAGTTCTTTTAAGCTTCTAAGGAAAAATAATGACAATACAGTCACATCCACCTCTTGCATTTTTCATTTCCTGACAAGAGAGTTTAGAAGTAAGATAGGACTTTTTGTTCCTATAGTCTTAATTTACTGTAGTGTAAAAGGTTGATTTCTACAGTGCTAGCAGAACAATTTCCACATTCCAGTATATTGTTTTCTTTTTATTCTGCCACATGCTATTAGGAGGCAATACTTTGTGTTCTTGTGTTCTTAATTCATGAATCCGTTGGATAAGAAAACTTGATACAAAGCAGAAAGCTTGAAATTGATTTCTGATAAATCAATTATCAGAATTTCAATAAATACAAAAATCATTTTAATTTGTACTTATAAGAAATATGTATTTATATCTCTTCTTTTTCTTTAAGAACTTAGAATTTGGCTTTGCTTGGGCAAATACTCCATGATCAAAGACTGTTATTCAAGGAAGGGAGGGAAGAGGGAAGGAGAGGGGAAAAGCAAAAGGGGAAAAATAAAAAGAAATAGGAAAACATAGAGAAAGAGGAAAAGAAAAAGGAAAGGAGAAGAAGGGAAAGGGAATGGAACAAGAAGGAAAATGGGAAAAGAAAGGGATAAGAAAAGGAGTAAGGATATTAAATATACAATTAATGTTGTTTTCCT